TGTGAAATGGGCCTTTAAAAATTGTCTTTGTTGCTGTTGTCAGTTTTTGGGTTTTTCTATTTCTCCCTAAGCCCAAGGTCGAACAAACACATTTCTAAGGGTATTTAAAAATGCATATCAGCCTTCAGTTTCATGAAATGTATAATGGTCATCTGAACAAATACTAAGGCAAATGGAATATCTAAATAATTATTACATTATAATCATAATAACTATGCATTATTCAACCTGGGTTCGCATGAAAGCAAAAAGTTATTGCTCAAGTTAATATGGATCTTTCAAAATTATCATCAGCTTAAAAATCATCATATAATTAAATAAAGCATACTGTAGACACTGATCATTCAGGATTTTAATTTTTTCTACTTTTAAACATAAGCCAAATTTGAAGAGGGAAATACAAATATGAGATATAAAAAAATATACATAAAATTAAATAAAAATATAAACCTGGTCCTCCCAACAAAATAAGCAATAACACAAAATCTATAAACAACCATCTCTAAAACTGACCACTGAAAAGAAAGATAGAAAAAAGAAGAAACTGGAAAAAAAAAAAAAAAAAAAAAAAAATACAAGACACTTAAACCATTCAACAAAGCAACCGAAATCTCCACTCTGAGAGAGCGCTTGCTTTGACTTGCAGCTGTAGCACTATTAGTGTGAGGTTGCACTTGTGAAGGTATGATGACGGTGGTGGTGGCAGTGACTAAAGAGGTAGGGAGGGTAAGGGAAGACTGGGTAGGGAATGGGCCAAAGGCAGATGAGGAAGGAGCAAGGAGGAAGGGAGGAGGGAGAAAGGAGGGGAGAGAGGAGGAGAGGAGGAGGAGAGGAGGGAGAGGAGGAGGAGAGAGGAGGAGTGAGGAGGAGGATAAGGAGGAGGAGGAGGAGGAGAGAGCAGTACAGAGAGGAGGAGAAGGAGAAAGAGGAGGAGGAGGAGAAGGAAGAGGAAGGAGGAGAGGAGGAGGAGAGGAGGAGAAGAGAAAGAGAGGGAGAAGGAGAAAGAGGAGGAGGAGGAGAAGGAGTAGGAGAAGGAGGAGGAGGAGGAGGGAGAGGAGGAGGAGGAGGAGAAGGAGAAAGAGGAGAGGAGGAGGAGAAGGAGAAAGAGGAGAAAGAGGAGGAGAAAGAGGAGGAGGAGGAGGAGAAGAGGAGGAGGAGAGAGGAGAAGGAGGCAGAAAGGAGAAAGAGGAGGAGGAGAGGAGAAAGAAAGAAGGAGGAGGAGGAGAGAAGGAGAAAAGAGGAGGAGAGAGGAGAGAAGGAGGAGAAGAGGGAGAAGGAGAGGAGAAGGAGGAGAAGGAGAGGAGGAGAAGGAGGAAGGGAGGAGGAGGAGAGAAGAGGAGAGGAGGAGAGAGAGAAGAGGAGAAAGAGAAAGGAGGAGGAGGAGGAGGAGGAAAGGAGAAGAGGAGAGGAGGAGAAAGAGGAAGGAGAAGGAGGAGAGGAGGAGAAAGAGAGGAGGAGGAGGAGGAGGAGAGAGGAGAAAGAGGAGAGAAAGGGAGGAGGAGAAGAGAGAGGAGGGGAGAGAGGAGGAGGAGAAGAAGGAGGAGATGGGAGGGAGGAGGAGGAGAAGAGAGAGATGAGGAGAGAGGAGAGAAAGGAGGAGCGAGAGGAGGAGGAGAGGAGAGGAGGAGGAGGAGGAGGAGAGGAGAAGGAGGAGGAGGAGGAAGAGGAGAAGGAGAGGAGGAGGAAGAGGAGAAGGAGGGAGGAGGAAGAGAGGAGGAGGAGAGGGAGGAGAGGAGAGGAGGAGGAGGAGAGGAGGGAGGATGAGGAGGAGGAGGAGGGAGAAGGGAGGAGAGGAGGAGAGAGAGGAGGAGGAGGAAGGAGACGATGGAGGAGGGAGGAGGAGGAGACGATGGAGGAGGAGGAAAGAGAGAGGAGGATGGAGGAGGAGGAGGAGGAGGAGGAGACGATGGAGAGAGAGATAGGAGGGAGGAGGAAGGAGGAGGAGATAGGAGACGATGGAGAGAGGAGGAGGAGGAGGAGGAGAGGAGACGAGGAGAGGAGGAGAGAGGAGAGGAGAAGGAGGAGGAGGAGGAGGAGAGATAGGAGACGATGGAGGAGAGAGGAGGAGGAGATAGGAGACGATAGAGGAGGAGGAGGAGGAGGGATGGAGGAGGAGGAAGATAGGAGACGAGGAGAGGAGGAGGAGGAGGAGGAGATGGGAGAGGAGGAGAGGAGATAGGAGGAGGACAGAGGGAGGAGGAGGAGGAGGAGGAGGAGATAGGAGGACGATGGAGGAGGAGGAGGAGGAGGAGATAGGAGAGACGGAAGAGGAGGAGGAGGAGGAGATAGGAGACGATGGAGGAGGAGGAGGAGGAGATAGGAGACGATGGAGGAGGAGGAGGAGGAGGATGGAGGAGGAGGAGAGATAGGAGCGATGGAAGGAGGAGGGATAGGAGACGATAGAAAGAGGAGGTGGGAGATGAAGTGATTGCGTAAGGAGTTAGCAATAGAGGAGAAAGACGACTTGCAGAAAGCTGAAAGGAGAATGCAGGAGCAGAATTATAATCCACAGATTAGTGCATTAGACAAGGAGAGAGAAGGAAAGGAGTAGAAAAAAAAAAGGCTAACAATGAGAAGGAGAAAAACTAAGCTGGTGAGAAGTGGACAAGAAGGAGAAAGTGCCATAAAAAGAGGAGGAGGGAAGAGTAGAAGGGAAGAAACACTGTAGGCAGAGGAGCAGTCTCCTTCTACAGAAATGATAAGGGCAAGGAGGGAAGAAAATGGGGGTGAGGGAAGAAGGAAAGATGGGGTGTGGGGAGGAGGAAACAAGTGACAGAAGAAACAAGGGTAAAGATGGGAGATAAGATCGGCAATTGATAAGATGGATGAGACATGGAGAAGGAATAGTAAATGCTGATAATCAAGATTCTGATGATGTAGCAAAAAGAAAAAATACAAAAAAAGGAGAAAAAAAAAGGAGAAAGAGCTTACAAAGCAAGAGAAAGAAATGGCTGAGGAGAAACAGAGATGAAGGAGGACAAAGGGGAGGTAATGAATAGAAAACTTTGGCATTGAAGGAGTAGGAAAGGGTCCCACTAAAGACATGGAAAGAAAAACACTGAAGCAGTAAGACAAAAAGAGATGGGGAAGGTTCGGGAGGAAAATCAGTTAAGGATGATGATGCTGAGGGAAAAGATAGGGATACATATGAAACAGAAGGTGAAGGTCAAGGCCTGGATAAAGATGGTGACAGGAATGGAAAGTGGAGGGGGGGGGGGGGGGAATGCTTGGTAGGGGATGTAAATATATCTACTACAATTCTGTGTTAAAGGACATGAAATTAAAAGAATCCACTTGATGTATGCGGCGTATAAAAAGAATGAATTTAACTGGTCTACATTCACACTGTGCAGATCAGGATTTGCATTCTTCAGTACAATATACTCACTCCTCAGTATTAAGATAAATAACACCAATAAAGATAATAACAAGACGGATAAAACCAACTATGCTACTCAAGTATCTACTACAGCTGCACAACATTAACACAAGAAACATTACCTGAAATATAAATACCCACTAACCTTTCGATACCATGAGCACAAGCTGGTAGTAATTTTCTTAATTCTATTAGTTTCTCTACTCCCTAATACTTTGACTTAAATATAAAATATACTCCATGACATGCACTTCCTTTCTACTGTCTAGACTACACATCATAATCTCCATTATTGCAATACCATAGCACTTGGGTGAAGAATCAGCTAAAGAGCAAACAACCAACTAATAAATCCTGCTCCAATAAAAACGGAGACTAAACAGGGACTTTGGTGGCTCCAGCAACCTTCTCACAGGCTGCTGGCTAGCCGTTTGGTACAGACAAGAGGTCGGAGGAAGGGAAAGAGGACCATAAGAGAGAGGAGCAGAAATAGGAAGCAGGGTATGGGAAACAGAAGTGAATAGGAAGAGGAAGCAGATTAGGGGAAAGACAGGTAATAAGGAAAGGGAAGAGAAGAGGAAATACGAGGGAAGGGGAAAGGTATGAGGGGAAAGCAGTAAAGAGGAAGAGTACACAAGGCAGGGGAAAAGAGGAAATGGGGCATCCATGGAAAGGAGAAAGAAGAACAGGAAGCAAGGCAGGGGAGAAATGAGTCCAGAGAGAAAGAGCTGGGGGAAGAGGAATACAGAAGAGGAAGCAAGGTTGGGGGAAGAGGAGGAAACAAGAAGCAAAGCAGGGGAAAGAGGAGCAAAGAAGCAAATCAGGAGAGGAAAAGGAGGAAGAAAAAGAAAGAAGCAGAGAGAGGAGAGAGAAGAAAAAAAGAGAGAACAGGGCAAGGGAAAGAGGAGTAAAAAGGAAGCAAAGGGTATGGGGAAGAAGAGTAATGAAGAGGAGGAAGAGCAACTGAAAACAGAAATGAGGAGGAAGAGGAAAGAGAGAGAGAAGACAAGAAGGAGAAAGCAACAATACTAGGATAAGACGAGGAAAGTGGAAAAGAAAGAGCAAGAGAAAAGAGAAATGAAGAGGGAGCAAACGTTGAGCAGGGGGAAGGAGGAGGAGATAAAAGCAACAAAGCAGGGCAGGGGAAACTGCAAGAAAAAAGGAGAAATAAGAAGAGAATGGGTGATGAGGAGAAATCAGACAAGCTAAAAGCCATGAAATGCAGCTCTGAATAACAAAGACAAGAGGTAGAGCTAGCTGAGAAGTGTGAGGAGAGATGAGAAAACAGACATGTAAGAAAATGTAGCATAAAAATATGAAACAAATCAAAGGAAATAAGAAACACTGAAGAAAGAAAACAGAGACTCGTTTTACAGCTCACTAATTCACATGTATACACTAACTACAATTCAGACAAATTTTCTAAGTCATATATCTGATAAGGACATGCAACACTTTCAAGTAAATCTATCCATAAATCTAAACAAACAGAAGTCGACACAGATGTTAAAACAAGAAACAATATATACGAACATCATATACATGTGCATTATACATAAACATATACATACATACACACACACACACACAACATGGAAATAAAGTCATCAAGATGCCTCACCTGACACTGAGATCCATTGTTGACAACTTGAGTTTTGCACTGAACAATTCAAGTTCTCATTCCTGATGAAGCCAAAAAGAGAAATCAGATATTAAGAATTTTCATCCACGCTTCTTTGGAGCTGCAAGTATGTACATGTAAATTTTCCGTTCTTCGAAGCGTAATACTCTTTTCTAACACGTTTATAACACAGTTGTGAGAGCGGGTGGACAGTTTAGGGCATCAGCTAATCACAGCGAGAGAATCTTCACTTGAAGGTCATTTTGCACGTCCAAACTATCTAACAATACAACACGGATCACTTTTGCATAGGTCAACGTAAAGTGATAGTTAATGCAGTTTTTTTTTCTTATTCCTAAACTCCAGTTATGCATCTTCCTTACTAGATAATACTCACTCTTAATCTGAATAACATTTGTTGAGAATCTCACATGCAATAACCAAAAGTGAGAGAGAATGCAAAATGAGAGAGAGGAATGCAAGGCAAATGTGGACCTTCTTTAAAAACTTATATCAGCAACAGGGATTATGAGGGACAAGAGAACAAACATGTTTAAGCATATCACTATTCTCATTCTGAATCCAAGCAACAACTTGAACTAGCGAGTAAACCAAAATATATGAGCATAAACCTGTTTGCATACATTCATAATCAAATACTATTTTCATCTTGGAATGGATAACTCGTTCCCTACAGGTTTTATATCCTTATAATCATTAAAAATAAACCAACTAACACTTTTACATAATATGTGCTCAGACCAAATATAGCCTAATATCTGCTCAATACAGTAATATGGCTAATAACACACGATGTACTCAGATTTACGAGCTTAGCTAGGTTCGTGGTATAAAATCTCTTATATCTACTGTTATAATTACATCGCATGCCTTACAGTAAGCAGAGAATGTGTCAGTTTTTTTTCCAATAACTAGACACTGTATATAATTCTGAAATGGAATTTTGCCAATAGTCAATTAAAAGAGAATGCCAAGAAAAAAAATTATAATATAATTATGTATACTTCAGACCTATCCTACCTCTTCCTATGTTCTATTTATCCTCTGAAAATTATATGCTGCATCCTTCTTTATCATCCATTCTGAAATTGGGTATTCTCATTGCTAAATAAAAATTATTTACCTTTCATATTATGAATATACACCCAAGACAAGCAGAAATCAATTATGCTAAATATGTAAATATTTTAAAACCAAAGTCTTGAGTAAATCCTATATCTTTAAAAGAAGGAGAGAACGTTATTAGGTTTTAACATTAAAATGTAAATTATTTGCCTCAAAATTAAGACAAATCTGAACATGTATACAATATCATTTTTTTGTGTGTGATCATCTGTACTCACAGCATACAAACTATCCTCGCTTCTGTTCTCTTCATTACGCAATTATAATGTTGCAAGCCAAGCTCCTACCTCGTAAACACTAACTGATGCTCGGCACAAGTTTGCAAACAAATAAAACACACAACAATCATTACAAATGCTCCACATCACTGGCTTCAACATAGGCAACAGCTGGATTGCACATACAACATATTGCAATACCCTAATGACTCATCTTGAACATAGAATAACTTCCTGTATCTAAATACTGCTGCAACAGTCAAAACTTCCCTACAGAACCCGTCTACATTGCCCAAAAAGCTGATTCATAGGAAATTTAACTCGCAATGAATGTATTGCACTAAAACATATGCAAGATTCAAAAATAAGGTGCAAATGCTCCGAGGCATTCACTGCAAAACGCCCATAGGTTGTATTGCACCTGGATGGCTAAACAAAAGTTCCAGGTACTGAACTTGCAGATATGGAACAACACAATTCACAAAACCTACTCTGAAAACTTCTCATGAATGGAAACTTTCCCCCTTCCCCCTTGAGAGCATGAACAAAAGATAACAAATAAATATCACAACAAATAAAATCCCACTCAACTATAACCAACCACAACCACCCCTCAAAACTTACCAAACGAACACACACACAATAAAAGAAGAAATAAAACCCTCAAAAAATATCTTCCTCGCTTCAAGTATTACCATACAGCAGGTCATGGCCTCTCTCTCCCCCCTCCCTCCCCTCCCCTCCCCCCTCAACCCCTTGTACCAATCTGATTCCAACACTACCAACTTTCTCTCACTCACACACCAAAGAAAAGAATAAAAAAAAGACTCCCGGCGTAGTCTTCTTGTCTTGATTATATTTTTCCTCTCTCTCATTTTTGTTTCTTTTCCTCACTCCTCACTTCTATTTCGGGGTGAAAAAAGCGAAAAATTCTTCCAAAATGGTGGCACATCAACCAGCAAATTAAAACTTTGGAACATGCCACAAAAAAATTATCATAAAATGCACACACATCACGTAATGCGAAGGAAACACAAACAAAATAAGCGAAATCTTTCCGAAAATAGCGTAAAAGGAATAACAATATGGCGCAACACACAAAAAAGCCGACCCGAAAATCCGCACACAGTGTATTCACGTCGTCTTTCTTTCTTCCGTTTGGGAAAATATATATCACAGAAAATCACTCGCATTTATCTCCTTTTCTCCCCATTCCTCGGCATATTCCCCACTTCCTCTTCCCCTTTTCGCCCCACAAACACGCACACCAAAGGCACCAACGCCGCGAGAGAGAAACGCAAAAGCACACACTGTTTAACACACGGGAGGAAAACGACATGTGTGAAAAGGGACCAAGCGTCTTCCCCGGCGTGAGTGAGGGCTGAGGCGCGCGAGGTTGACTGACCAGAGCATCTAAACCCCCCTCCTCCTCCTCCTCCTCCTACTCCCTCCTCCCCTCCCTCTAGCCTACTCCTCCCTCCCTCCCTCCTCTCACCCCCCTTCCCTAACTACTACTCCCTCCCTTCCTTCCCCCCTCGTCCCCTCTCTCTCTCTCTCTCCCACTACCTCCTACCTACTCCTCCCTTCCTTCCTCCTCCCCCTCTCCCTCCCTCCCTCCCTACTCTTCTCCTCACTCTCTCTCTCTCCCTCCTCCCTCCCCACCACAGCCACTCGCCGACACCTATTTACCTATTCCTGGCTAACACCGCTTTTCTTTTTCTTTCGCTCTCCCTTTGCCCTCTTCCTCGGCCTTATCGCTAAGTTTTTTTCGCCTTCTGCTTCTTCGTTTTCGGCGATTGTACACTTCCCTCCTCCTGCGAGAGGCCGACGCCCCCGGCACGGAAGAATAAGCGAAAGAAATGAGAGAAAAAGGGGGAAGAGAAAAGGGAGGTACACATAGGCCGAAATATCAAAACCGAAGAGGAAGCGGAAATGTTTTGACCTCCCCGTGAGCAACACCGGGAGAACCCCCTTCCCCTCCTCCTCTTCCTACCCCTCCTTCCCCCGGCCCCTCTCCCCCTCCTCCTCCCTCCCCGGGGCCCTCTCCCCCTCCTCCCCTCCTGCAAGCGTCACCCGAAATCACTTTTCAAGACAAAACTCGGGGCTTCTCCCTCTCTCTCTCTCTCTCTTTCTCTCCTCTTCCTCCTCCATCCACGTTCCTTCCTTCCTCGCACACGCTCTCGTCTCCTCCGCTGCATTTCCCGATTTTTATTTATGCATCTATCTCACTTTCCGATACAAAACGCCCGGTGGAAACCTTGTACACACAACAAACTCATTAACAGTATCATGACAGTCTTCGTAATGGCGTGGAATGGGACCGGCGCGCGATCACATTTTATCTTCTTTTCTCCTTTCGCGTGGCTTTCCGCACTTTTTAAAAAATCGCATCACCATAATGTCACTCATGTCATTCCCCTCGCACGCATTAGAGAGTTCGAGGAGCGAAAATGTGGAAAAAAAATACATTTCAGAAAAGCACTTCCACTTCCGGAACCATTCGGCGCCACGTTCGTACCGAAAAAATGATACCAAGTCCACTGGCGCTGTCTTTGTCCTTGCAATGGTGCGTTTGTTTGTCTGTCTTTCCCCACACACTGCATCTCTCTCCTTCGCCGCCTTTTTACTCCCGCGGCGGCCACTTCTCGCTTCTCTCTCGCTCACCACAGCTCTCCTTTCCTCACGAGCTGTGCTTAGACACCCCACACGCCTGGGGTCCACTCACGCGGGTGTCACAACTCGGGGGTCAATCGCTCAAGGACTGAATTCGTACCAACAACCATATCGATTCTATTTCACAACAAACACCAACGTATAAACTCTTCCCTCGACCACCGCGCCCCCTCGGACCACCAAAACCCGCTTCTCGACCCGATATCACGCCCTCGGCTCCTTCTCCTCCCTCTCACTGGCCCTCCACCGCGTCCACCGGACCTTCCCCTCCACCGAATCCACCTCGAGGAGCACCCCACGCCCGCCGAGAACCGTACATGTGGCAAAAATTAGGAGATAATCCCGGGCGCGCCCACGACCAACATGGCGCCTTGTCTCCGGTTAATGGCTACGGGGCCGACTCTGCTGGACGCACGGGCTCCCGCGCACACACACACACCCCCCCACCATTCACTACCATTAACTTTTTTTTTTAATTTTATTTTTTTTTTGTTTTTGTTTTTGTTTTCCCTCGATGGGGATATATGGGGGGGTGTTATTGCTTTTTTCGTTATTTGAGTTTTCTTTTTTCTAATTTATTATTTTTTTCTGCTCTCTCTCTCTCTCGGCGGGGATATGCATACATACACTTACTCGACCCCCTCCCAATCACCATTCACTACCATTATTTTTTCCGGAATTGAACTCTGGTTTTTACTTTGTTTGTCTAAGGTAATATGGGTTATCTTCCGATCAGGACTTCGTTTTATATTCGTCATTTCTGAAGCGCCTTGTGAATTACAGTTCGTTGTGTTATGTGCGTTACGATGGTTTGTATAGGTAATTGATTGTTAATATTCGGTGCTAGGGTTGACATTTTGGTCAAGGAGACAATCATTATGAATTTGATCATTTGTATGGCTCATTAAGGTGCATTTATATCCCCGAATCCCGAGTTACTTAGTGCGGGGAACCCTCGCTCGACAGCAAAGATATCTTAATGCCGATAAAGACTCATTTTTAATCGTTACAGCCTAATTAAAAGCGACGACGGAGCCCCGAGTGAGAAAAGGCATAACGCTCTTTGTACGTAACACCTGTGACAAAATGTCGCTCAACTGCCTCGCTTCAAGTGCCTTTCTCCCGCGAACGGAATAATGGCGTTATGGGAGAGGAAAGGGAAATACAACAAACCCGACGAGCAAGCCAGGCGGCGATTGACGGAACGAATGCAAGAGAGAAAAGTCTAAGAATCCCGTATGTAGGTAGGCTAGCGGGCGGTACTGGCGTGCGTGTATACATGTGTACGTGTTGCGGTGTCGGTGTGTGTGTGTATGTGTGTGCCGGGGTCGCGCGCGTGAAGCATCTGCATCGCCCCACCCGCCTACACCACACACAGACACTCACTCACGACAACCATCATATCTAAAAACCTCTCCGTGCCCGAACTCCCGCGGCCTCTGCTCGCCACCCAAGCCTCCCTCGCTCGCGGTTCTGCTCGGAGGATCCGCGAGGGCAGGGTCGTGGGGCCGCTCGCGAAGGATGCGAAAAGAAAGAGCAGGTACTTAGATATAGCCTCCTCCTGACAAGCACTGGCGGCGGAGTCAGCAGTTTTCACCCCACGAGTACAGGCCGTCACCACTACCACCTACCTCCCCGCCATCCCGCTACCCTTACCGCCACGAGACCCAGTACCACAGGCCGCGGGGTCACTCTCCCTCATACCAGCTTTACCACACAGCGAGAGAACCACCACCCTAAAAGCCTCCTTTCCTTCCAACCCCCCTTTCCTCCTCTCCTTCTCCTCCTCCCCCCTCAAACATCCAACTCTATCCTGGGTCCGAAGTCTCTCACGATGGGAACCTGGGCACATCCGACACGAGGGGTAAAAAAAGAGAAAGAAAAAAAAATGCGTACAATAACCTCTGATCGACTTTATTTCACCTCCCTTCGCTGGACGATTCTTCCGCACGATTCTGAGTCCGTAGAGGCGAGACGGCGAGCAGGCTTGGCCTACGTTAAAAGATCTCTTTTACCCAAAACGAGAGTCTTTATGCGAGGAATGGAGGTGGACAAGGCTAGGGGGCCAGGTGTGGTTAATGGCGGGATAGGCCAGCTAGCACAGGCAGCGATCGGAGACGCGTAGAGGTGGCAGAGAGCATAAAAGAGGTCGGCGAGAGGGTGACTGTATTGATATTATCGGGCTGGTATGACAATTAAGGGTTGTTGACAATGTTTAACACCCGTGCACGTGGTCGGCGACTGTTCGGCACGCTGGTGACTTACTGATAGGCGGGTAAAATAAAAAAATAAGGAAAACATTTAACGTTGTATTAAGAAATTAAGCATTCATCTTTAAAACATGACGGGCCATGCACAAAATAGAGCGTATCCTCATCCATCTTTTGTCCAGACTGGCATGAAGGAGGCACGACACAGGTACTAAGCGTGATCCGACATAAAATCCGGGATGCATCGTCCGACATTTTGACGTCATAATTCCGAACAATACCACCGCGTGCGAATTTTAGAGTCACGAAGTATCTAACAAGCTCTCTTGGTCATTCCACAGGAAGAAAAACTGTTCAAAATTGCCACTCTTGCCATGAAAGCAAGCTGTTCAGCCCGGGAATTCACGAAAATGCTCCAAGCTGGTTGGAGATTCAAATGCGCCAGCAACCTTGTGTTGGAAGCCCAAACTGTGGTGTGTTAGGAGAGAATCTGGTCATATTTCGAGAGAACAAACACTGGGGAAGTAGAAAAAAAATACAGCTCGATATATACTTATGCGCAAAGTACTTGTACTAAACTCCGTTGAAACGGAAGTAGTTAAGTACAGATATTGTCTATTTTTTTCCAGATGGAGAAAACTAAAACGACATAGCCAGGCAGTTCCTTGTCTAACCTAAGGCAAAAGGGAGATACAAAATCAATAGAAACGAACAATACAAACTTCTATACTTTAACAGATCCCTCTCAGTCTGAAAATAAAGATTTCGACTGTCTGTTGCATATTTCCATTATCATAATTAATTGATATCGCTCACTAACCACCGAATTGTGTAAAAATTCTTAGTTTAAGGCAGTTAACTACTTCAGTTGGCAAAGTAAACGTCATTAGGGGTAATTTCGTCTCTAATAAGACCTAGTAAACACAAAAAAGAAAATAAATAAGAGCTGCATATTTTTATTTTTTATGTCTCTGAACTATTCATACCATTAGCTAGTTGTAATGCTACTTTATTCACTAGCCACTCATGTATTCAGTCTCTGCAGGGCTTCGTTAAGGCGCATTCGTAGCTGAACGCACACGAAGAAATTATTAGATCTCCTTCGAGGAGTGATCAGCAACGTCGCAGATGTCAAAGAACTGTAGCGTGAAATCCGGCGCCGATCTGTTTTCTCTTGCGAACTTTCATCTTTTTGTGTTGTTCGTTTGGGCTGAAAACGGTTTAAAAACCCCGCTTTCCTCGCGGGTTCACTTATGCATACACACACATGCGTAATTATAACCTTACATGCACGCATACACACACGCACGCGCGCGGGCACACACACACACACACACACACACACACACACACACACACACACACACACACACACACACACACACACACACACACACACACATCTGTCTCTCCCCCTCCCCCCCTCTTTCTCTCTCTCTCTTCCCCATCTCTCCTCTTTCCTTCCCTCTTTCTCACTTTCTTCCCTCCCTCTCAATTTCTTTCTTTCCCTTCTTGCTCTCCCTCTCTTCTCTCTTTACCCCCTCTCTCTCTCTTCTTTCTTCTCCCCCTTTCCCCCTCTCAGTGTTCTCTCCTCCCCCCTCTCCCTCCCTCCACTTCTCCCCTCCCCCCCCTCTCTCTCTCTTTCTTTCTTTCTTTCTATCTTTCTCTCTTCTTTCTCTCTCTCTCTCTCTCTCTCTCTCTCTCCTCTCTCTCTCTCTCTCTCTCTCTCTCTCTCTCTCTCTCTCTCTCTCTCTCCTCTCTCTCTCTCTCCCTCCTCTCTCTCTCTCTCTCTCTCTCTCTCTCTCTCTCTCTCTCTCTCTCTCTCTCTCCTCTCTCTCTCTCTCTTTCTCTTTCTCTTCTCTCTCTTTCTCTTTCTCTCTTTCTCTTTCTCTCTCTCGGAGACATAATTCACGAAAGTATAAAAGTATAGACATAGAATCTGCCTGTCATGTCACTGCACCACAGGCATAGGTTGTGAGCGGTCATAACCCATGGATTCATTTGCGACTAAAAACACAACCTTCTTGCTTTCTCTCTCTGATGGCTGTCAGGACTAGGCCAATGAATTCATAAATTTACGCGTTGTTAGAGCATTTTGGCCGCTCGACTACTTTGCAAAGAGTGGTTAGAGAGTGGTTAGATTCTCCTCATTCTCTCTACCATTCATTCCAGCTGCCTCATAACGATGGTGGGGTGAGATGCACACAGTCTCACATGCTGTTCATCTGACGCATGGCCAAGTACATACATTTGGTCTCGTAGGTAAATATTAATGCATTACACAAGCACAATCAGAGGAGATCATTAGCGACAAACTATTTGGGAGTGTTAATGATCTATTAGGGGTGTTAATGACCAATTTTAAACTCCCCAAACGAGTGTTTTTGGGTGATCTTTGTGCCGTTGAATGGGAATACCTTGAGCTGGATATAAACATTTGGAGAAAGGATAAAAGGAAGAGAAGCTCATGAGTTTAAACATTGAGAAATATATTTTGGCTTCGTGGCTTTCTCATTTACATACTAGACAATGGATGTGAGTATCCAGATCTCTTTACGCAATAACGTGACAGAAGATCTACACACACACAAATATACTCACATGTACACACACACACACACACACACACACACACACACACACACACACACACACACACACACACACACACACACACACACACACACACACACACACACACACACACACACACACACACACACACACACACACACACACACAACACACACACACACACACACCACACACACACACACACACACACACACACACACACACACACACACACACACACGCACACACACACACACACACAAACACACACACACACACATGCGCACATACGTACACAAACACGGAGCTTTAGTAATAAACCAGGAAAGTCTGTGTACACAAACAAACGTGTACACACATCCAAAACCACACGCACCCATATACAGTAAAACCACACATAGGTAGACCGAATGGCTTATCTTGGGAACATAATGTGAACAGAATGAGAGGATATGGAATAGCGAAATGGAAGAATTATATTTAGGAAGAAAAGAGAGAAAGAGCAGAACCACAGGAATCACCTGAGTAAATACACGTGAGTTAGTTGCACTCACAAATGCACACACTGCCACTGTGCTTGCACGTTCGAGCCGCGCACTCTTAACGGATTCACATACACTCACGTCACAATAA